CCTGTCCGGTTCCTGCCCGCGCTCGGACATCGCGACGCTTATCCCGCCTCGGGACCGCCTGGGAAGCGCCTCCTCCTGGGCAGGAGGGGCGGGAGAGAAGAGGACACTCCCCGGACACGCCCCCGGAGCGCCTTCCCGGCCCCCTCCAACCCTTTTTGGGGGTGGTGCGTGCGCTCAGGTGCTCCGGAGGTATCGCAGATATAGGGGCTTGTATGTACATGGCACTTACAACCCCCTCCCCTGGTACAGGTGCAGAAATATAGGGCGTGAGTTCATAAATATATATAAACACACCTCATATTCTGCACGTATTGTGTCATAGGAGTGTTATATATACGTGCTGAATCATCTTAGAGTAACAGAATTGGCTTGGGTTGGGTTGGAAGGACCTTAAAGCTCATCCAGTGCCACCCCCTGCCATGGGCAGGGACACCTTCCACTGTCCCAGGTTGCTCCAACCTGGCCTTGGACACTCCCAGGGATCCAGGGGCAGCCACAGCTTCTCTGGGCAACTCGTGCCAGGGCCTGCCCACCCTCCCAGGGAAGGTTTTCCTCCCAGTATCCCATCTATCCCTGCCCTCTGGCAGTTGGGACACACAGCTCAGGCCCGTGGGCTGGCACTGCCACCGGTGCCCTGGCTGATGCCACACAGGAACCCGGGCACTGAGCACTGGTGAGGGAAGAGCTGCCTGTGCCGCTCCCGTTTCCCTCTGCTGACCCTGAGGGGTGGGCTGATGCCACCCTGATGTCCCCCCATCCTCTGCCTGCCTGACACCCTGCCAGGGAGTTCAGGCAGGGAAAATGCCACAGCAGCTGGCACGTCAGGATCTGCCCTGAGACGCTGGAAGAGCTGCAAAGAGGAAAAAAAAAATAAAACAGAGAAGTGAAAATAAGAGAAAGGCAAAAACCAGCCCAAACCTGCAGCAGCACATTGGCATTCTTCTTTTTTTTTTAAAGAAAAAAAAAAAAGAGTGAAAGCTTCTCAGCCAGAGGTATTTTGGTACTAAAGTGCTCCTGGAGCACCTCAGGTGCCCACAGAAGTGCAGCAAACCCCACAGAGCCAGCAGTGGATGAGGGGATGGCAGCCAAGTCACCTCTGCAGGGCAGTCCAACAATCCTGAAGAGCCTGCAAAACATGGATGAGGGGGAATTCCGGGCCTCCAGGAGAGCTCCAGGCAAGGAAACCCCCCCACACCTCCTTGCAGACCCTCAGTCCCCAGCCCTGCCCCACTTCTCCCGTTCTGGAAACATCCCCAGTCACCTCTGTTTGTGCCCAGACAAGTCCTTTGGAAAAGAGGGGGGGGGGGATCAGATATTTGTTTTAAGGTTATTCCTTATTAATCCAAAGGCTCATCCAGCCCCAATCCACATCTCAGCATCACCCTCCTCTCCCTGTGCCAAGCCCAGAGCAGCTCTGGGGTGCAGGTGTGTCTGGGGTGCCCCTTTCTGTGTCTGCCCAGAAACAACCAGAAGCTCTGCAAACAAATGTGAGGACTTGAGTAAACACGGGCTTAAAATGCTGCTCCAGGCGCTTCTGAAGCGCTCAGCTCCCACTCCTAGGTGTAAATATAATATATATATAAATATATATATATAAAATATAATATATATAATATAAACATTATATATATAATTTATTAAAAATATAAATATGGGTATAAATATGCTGGATTGGGAGCCTCCTGATGCTGCCCTTTCACCCCCAGGCAATCCAAGCACAGCCCCCTGCCATTCCCACGCCAC